TGTCTAAATTCCGTCATTGAAATTTGGGGTCGAATGAGGGAAATAATTGAAAAATGACAGGGGAAAAGTACCAAGTGAGTGAGTAACATGGCATCATTATATAACTACTCTGTATACAAAGTCTCTCCGGTCTTGAATCCGGAAAACAGGAAGTACTCTGCTCCACAAAGCCTTGATCATGGTTGGTACTCTGTTCGTTCCTTGGTCCTTGCGAAATCAGCAAATTGTCAGATAATTCTCCATTTTCTGGTTCTCTTCCAGCCATTCCAGGATTTGAAAGAAGGGCTACGCGCCTTGACCTCATTTGTTCTAAAGTGAGGGGAACTGGGTCTTCCCCCATCAGAGGTTCTTGAGGTTTCATACTCCCTGTCCTGTTCACATCGAATACATCCGTCACAAGAGAGGATAAAGGGGACAGGAAAGGCATCCCCCATACACACCCTAATCCATAGGTAATTCGTCTCAGGTTATTTTTAACACCACAGATCTCAAAGGGGATTAGACAACAGCCAATCACATAGCGCGAATGTGTTCGGCGTGGATGACCCACGCTCAGAGGCACGCGTCCTTCACGAATTGACGCAGAACAAAATGGCGGAAGACGCGGAAAGCGATATTGCTATTCGTTTAGTCGAGGAAGACGACTATAGAGAGATTTCTGCTAGAGCTGTGTCAGCGAAACGGAAATTAAAAAAGAATCGCCCTTCCTTTCTTGTATAGAGCTAACAGTACAGCAGGGAAATCCTTAACACACTGAATATTCTCTCAGGATCATTTGTAATTTACAGTTTGAAGACAGCAATTTCTGGTTTGATATTTAACTTTTTATTAGTCTTTTATTATTCAACAAAAATAACACTTGGCGTTCTACTTGCTTTCTTGTACAAACGACCGGTTTCAATAGACCGGCGAAATTTCTCATTTTATTAAAGCACTGAGGTTACGACAACTTTGGGTTAAACTGATTTCACGGGTTGTCAAAGAGTCCAGCGATTCCCTTTTCCCAGGTGAGCGCCGACTCATTTCGCTTCAATATTCAGGAATGCTCTCGATCTCTTTACGCTATCATTGCCTTTCGCCCCACATGTTTTGCACGGCGTTTAGTCATGCAAAACCTCCACGAAACATCCACGCAGCGCGCGAGGTAACTTTATCCCGATTCTAAAAATTACTCGAGACGAATTACCTATGGAATAGGGTGTGTATGGGGGATGCCTTCTCTGTCCCCTTTATCCTCTCTTGATCCGTCGCCTTCCAGACACGCGCACTCTCACCTGATGTTCTCCAGAAAGCTAAACCGTCAGTTTCGTCCCTCTCAACCGTACCAGGATTTGAGGGTACTACTGTGGAGCTTGATCTTGTTTGATCCATAGCAAGATGAGGTGGGTCTCCAGTGGAACCTGGACTCCCGCCATCAGCAATTCTTGAGGTTTCATACTCCCTGTACTGTTCAAATACGACACATTCTTCACCTTCCAAATAAGTACAGCTACACACTGAACATACAATACGCTTGCTCTCACCTGATGTTCTATGTGAAGCTAAACCAACAGTTTCTTCTTCAGCCTCTGACAATATTGTATCTTTGTGTTGTGATCTCAGATACAGGTAAGTTGATGATGGATATAGACCTCTTTCTTTTAAGTAACTATCCACAGTTCCATCACCTAGGAATTCGAAAATGACTGTAGCATAACATGTACCCGGCCAGAGAAAGGAGTTTTGCCATCTAGGAAGGACAGAGCAATTGCTTTATTTTTTAACTCTTTAACTGTGGGAGCTTTGGAGGAGCTATAAGAAACCAAGCGTTTTTCTCCACCGTTCTTTGACGAACTGGAAAAAAGGCCCGTGAGTTTTTACCGTAATGAATCACCGAATTTGGATTCGGACTTTCTCTTCTTCCCTATTTGGTGACCTCTGATGCCACCAAGCAGTCCTGATAGTCGGCTGACTGTACTGCGCTGCCGGGCTAGAGCAGTGCACTCTTCCAGTCTGTGTCCCGTATATTAAATCCCAGTCTCTCTCGTTCAACCCCAAAACTCAAAACTGAACTGTCTAAAAATTCAAATATTGAACTCCCTAAAAATCGCAACCGAACTGTCAAAAATTACAACTAAACTGTCAAAAACACACAACTGAACTGTTGAAAATCCAATCTAAATGGCTGAAAATCAAAACTGAACTGTGAGCCTTCTGGGCCATCGTATAAAATGGATAAGAGTTTGAAGAGAGGAATGTGTATCAAGTTCGAGAGTCAAAAGGTTTGTATAGCTGGTAATCAGTGTGACAACAGCAGTGATTTAGATATTCACAATGCGGAAGACAAGAAGCTGCCTGTGTTCAGAATTTGTTCCGATGAAGGACGCGAGACGTTTGTCAACAATTGAAACCAAAAGGGAGTCAGGCTTCTTTTGTAACTACTGTGATAGCTGTAACAATTCTTCTTATGCTTTAATTTTTTTGGCAGAGTAACTGTTAATGTACTTGTTTTTGTATTGCGCGTTGTGTTTTTTAATGTAATTGTATATGTTGTTTTTAAACTCGGTACATGTACAATGCTCGGCGTCGGGATTTTGCATTATCAGCACACTATGAGTTTTCTTTCAGAATTAGAGTAATAACTCATTTGTAAAGAAGCAAAATTGTGTTGTAGAGGAAATAAAAGATTTGAATTGAGATCTCGTCGCGGGAAATTTATTTATCTCAGAACTTACAATTCAGTTGGTTTAAATAAGGTTAGTCATTTACCTCGACGCGGTCATGCACCTAGCAGACTACCGCTGAAGAAATTAAACTATTTGTTACAGAAAACAAGGAAAGTGAGAGTTTTTGTATGGAAGGGTATTCGGAAATATTCACCATTATCAACTAAAATTCATTATTACCTTAAAAATACAAATGGTTTAGAATTAAACAGGTTCAAAGGTAACTGTAACATGTGTGAGGTTTTTACTTAAAGGGCAACTCCAAAATTAGTTCGTAAACGAAGGAAGGTGTATCTGTCGTCTAAGCATCAAAAAGGAGGCGATTTAGGTGGGATAAGATATCCAAATAGGGTTTTAAGTAAGTATTTGCCCCTCTGTACATGCAATTATCCATTTAATAGTTCTTACAAGAGTTTGAATCACCGGGTTAATCTTGGCCAAAAGCTTTGTACTGATATCGTGAAGAATCCAGATTATCTAGATGCTACAAAAACAATTCATGCTTCACACTGTCAAGGAAACGTTGCAGTATTTGGGGAAAATGCTGGACAACAATGTGTTGTAATGAGTCTGTGCGCTTTAAGTTAAAGTAAGATAAGAATATTCAGTTCATGATATGAGTCAAATAATGATTATTGGTAATCAATAATATTCTAGTCTGTCACTGCTTAAAAGACAATCTATGTTAATGTTAGCAGAATTGCCAGGAATGGTTACAGTGTTTGAGCGATTTTTCCAGCTGGAATACAGTGGAAGTTATACTTATAACATGCATGGTGATGCCACTGGGTACAACATTTGAAACACTCTTGGCTCTGAACTACAACTCATTCATTTTAATGGTGGAAATAATTGGTGTTTGTATCTACAGCATTGAGGGTTGGGGATATAAAGTATTTGATTAACATGCTAGAGATATGTATGGTGACAGTCATAGTGATGGGACATGAGTATTTAACAATTATTCCTCGAGCCCGAATGGGCTCTGAGTCAATAGCCCATGAGGCCGAAGGCTTTAGTAAAATCCAACTAGCCGGTCAAAAATATCGAGACAAAACAACTTTAGCTGGTTAAAGCTAGACTTAAATCCCTTCTTTGCCGCCAAAACGCCGGCGCTTTCGCTACTAGGAGGCTATAACATATAGCCTAGTAAAATGATATTTCTATTTAAATGATATTTCTGTTATTACAATTTATCGACTTCAAAGCCCAGTCAAGGTATAAATTTCTGAGGTTCCTCTCAGGTCTATTGAGTCTTCCCACGCAATGTCAAGAACGACCAAAAGTCTTACGAAATTCGTCTTACGGCTGCAAACGAGACTAGACCATTTGCAGGGCATTGTAAAAAGGACATATTGGAGAGACTACGTGTCCCGCGTTGACCTTTCGCTATCATTTCTATCGTCACGCAAAAAAAACTGGTAACATTGCCAATGTGTTTATCATTCCTCATCAGTTTAACGAAGTTGCACGCACTCATGGGAAAGGTTAAAAATGCGTTACGAATCATTGAGAAACACTGCGATGTATTTAAAGTATTCAAACTCGTTAAACATGCGTTTTACTAGCTCTTCAGCAGCAGTCACACGCTCTTCTCGAGCGCCTATTTTGAAATGTCTTACTCTGTTATGAATCATTCTGGATACTGAACTTCAAGAACTTTATCTGCCCTTGTTAGTAACCGAAATACACTGTACAATGTGATGGGTGTGAAAAGACATGTTATGCCAGTCGATATTCCTCAAAGTGTTAGTATCAGTGGAGCTGAGATAAACCCTACTTTCCGGGCTGTAAGCACTGGTGTGTTATGTTGCAATTTGGCTGAGAGCAAGTCTGTGTTGAAGATGTGCATTTCAAAACATTGTCATGAAGTAACAGGGTTTTTATTGTGGATTAGAACATAATGTATAAGCTGTGTGGCTCAGCAAAGAAGTAGAGTGAAGTATTTATTTTCTCTGGTGAGATATGATGACAGTTGTTCAGCAGAAATAAGGTATGATAAAAGTATCATACGCGAAGTACAACCACGCCCAAATATTCGCTCCCACAGCGTCTTGTTCAGTTTATGAAGGTGGTAATGTGTCCACCGCTCATTCCTGAACCCAGGTACCCTCCCTCCGTGCTATTAGCGATGCACTGTGCCCGCTCCCGAGTCAAATTGTCGCTGTGAAGTAAGCTCTAAGCGACCGTTGATTACGTCACGTCCAAATGCCCGGAAATACACATTGCGAGAAAGAAAACTCTGATGGAAAAATTTTAAAATCAAGCGATCCGCGAGCGGGTTTGGCAAAATCTGAGACTCCAGAAGCATAGAATGGAAAGAAAAATTATCGACTGACCCTTTGACGGCGCAATTTTGGTGAGTTTGGACCATTTTTATTGGATTTATGGAGCTTCGAGCTGAAACGGTCGGCTTCAGACTCCCCAGCTTTTCCTTATTTGTTATTGTTAGTACAACTCAAAATCTAAATGGTCGATAAATCGGCTTCCAATCTACAAGTGAAGAGACAGTTAAATACGAGACAAAAACACAAGGAAAATCATTTTTATTTCTTTTTTTTGGGGGGGGGAGTCAAAAATTGAATTTAGGACGTATTTTGTTTATTTTCAAACATTCTATTATAAATTCAAAGTCCCAACGAACTCCCACAGAGTTTGGGTTGTCTGTGGTATCCCTTGTTAATTTGTACAAGGGACCCGAGGCTCTTGCCCGTTATTATGTGACGTTACACTGGCAAGCGGAGTGGGCCAAGAAACGTAGGTAGAAAACAATAGAGTCACCTCCCCCACCCCCCCCCCCCCCCCCCCCCCCCCC